ATATAGAAATGTGAGCTCTATAATTAATAATTAAGATAAACTGTGCACCATGTATATAATGATTGTTCGAAGTTTTTGCCATGTCAATTTTTTCTTTTGTGCTCAATTTAGTTTTAGTTATGTATTAAAATATATAAAGAATTAAGTTTGAATGATTTATTAATAAAAAATGAATTTAATGATTGTATTAGATAAATTTTTAAAGTTAAGTAATTTTTGAGATATTAACTCCCTCGTATATATATTTATAAAGAATAGAAAGAAAATATATTTTGACAGTATATAAGATTAAAACGAGCAATACTTAGTTACAACCAACATGACCCATTTGTAAAATTCTCAGGTAAAGAAATAAGAAAAATCAAGGAATGTTTTGATAAATAAATAGTTGAGTACATGCTCATTATATGGGAGTGAATTGTAGAGTCGTAGACTTGCTATACTTAGAATACTGCTCCAATATTATTATTATTATTATATTATAAGAGCCAAGTTGAGGACGATCAAGGGCTAATTTGTCATTTCATAAATATTCTAGAATGTTTGTTTTATGTTATGATATCATAAAAGTGGTAATAGATATATAATAATAATACAAACAAATATCTTTTCTTAAATGTCATGTGTATCATAATAATGTGATATTTAGTTGGAACCACATTTTTTATAAAAAAATTTTCTTTTTTACTTATAGAGTGAAATTTTCATTGAATCAAAAATATCTATTTAACAATGGTATTATAGTAATTTTAATATTATATAAGGAAGAATTATAATTGTATAATTAATTGTTAAAATGAAAATCTAGAAGCATCCATACATGTCTTTACTTTTAAAATTGGCCCATAAATATATTTTTAAAATTGTGTTAAAATGAAGAGTTTCTATTAATTAACTTTTTACAAACAATAATAAATAATAAGCTTATTTTGACATATTTTTGAAAGAAAATTTTAAACTAATTAAAGATAAAATGTGTTTGAATAGTAAATATTTAAATCCTAAAAATACTTTAAAGAATTGTTGCGTAAACATACTTTTAATATTTTTTTTTTATAGAATATGACCACTAAATATATCTTGATTATTAAAATAATCTTTAAAATGACGTATCAATAATTTTTAATTAATTTGATGAAATATAAAATTACGTGACTAAACGAATGAAAAATGTTTGACCATCTTGATATCAAATATGATTACTATTTAACAGGGAAAATTTGACAAGAAAAAAAAATATTTGAATTCTAAGGAATATTAAAATACAAAATAAAGAAAAATAAGTACTTAAAAAATAAAGAAAAAAATGAAAATGTCAATAGAAAAGGGTTTAAGAAATATAGAGGAAGAAAAAAAAATTAAAAATAATAACATGAAAAACAAAAACAACTATATTGTTATTTTGTTGGGGTATATTCAATGTTTTCTTTTACGACATGATATTTAGAGTGTAGTATAAAAAATATTATCAATGTAATTTAGAATATAACATTATGTCAATTGTTATCGTATATAGAAATAAAATTACTTTCATGATTGCTTTTATTTTTCTAGAGTTAGAAATCAATATTTTAATAAATATTTTCAATATTTAGAATAGAACATTATGATAGTTGTTATTGTATATAGAAATAAATTTGATTTCATGATTGTATTTATTGTTGTCGAAGTTAGAAATGAAGCTTTTAATAAATTTTTCTATTATATAGAAGAGCCAAGTTGAGAGACGAATAAGGGCAAATTTGTCATTTCATAAATATTTTAGAATATTTATTTTTATGTTATGACATCAAAAAAGTTGTAATAGATTTATACTCCCTCTGTCCGGTATTGTTTGTCACGGAATCTATTTTCAGAGTCAAACTATAAAAACTTTGACGAACATTTTAAGATGTATTTTTTCATCATATTAATATGTAAAATATTGTAATTTATAGTACTTTTCATATAGTTTTAGAATATATAATTTTTTTGTTTAAAATATCGAATTAATGTGATCCATTTACCTTTGAAAATTAGTCAAATTAACTTTCGATAAACGCAACATGACAAACAATTTCGGACGGAGGGAGAAATAATAATACAACCAAATGTTTTTTTAAATGTCATGTGTATCCTAATGATGCGACATTTAATATGGACCCACATTTTCTATAGATTTTTTTCTCTTTTTTTTGTGTGAAATTTTATTATACCAGAAATATCTATTAAACAATGACATTTTAGTAATTTTAATATTATTCAAGGATGAAATAATATTGCATAATTAATGATTAAAATAAAAATCCAGAAGAATACATACATGTCTTTACTTCTAAAATTGGCCCATAAATATATTTTTATAATTGTGTTAAAATGAAGAGTTTCTATTAATTAACGTTTTACAAACAATAATAAATAATAAGCTTATTTTGACATATTTTTGAAAGAAAATTTTAAACTAATTTAAAATAAAATGTGTGTGAATAGTATATATTTTATTCCTAAAAATACTTTAAAGAATTATTGCGTAAACATACTTTTAATATTTGTTACAGAATATGACCACTAAATTTATATCTTGATTATTAAAATAATCTTTAAAATGATGTATCAAATATTTTGTCAATTAATTTGATGAAATATAAAATTACATGACTAAAAAATGAATATTGTTTGACCATTAAGAAATTAATGATTTGATAATGTATTCATCAAAAGATTAAAAAGTACAAAATTTTCATTTGTATATAGAATATTTTCTTGATATCAAATATGATATACTATTTAACAGGAAAAATTTGACAAGAAAAAAAAGTTAATATTCAAATTCTAAGGAATATTAAAATAAAAAATAAAGAATAATAAGTATTTAAATTTTTTTTTTAAAAATGAAAATGTCAATAGGAGAGGGTTTGAGAAATATAGAGGAAGAAAAAAAATTAAAAAATAAATAATAACTTGAAAAAGAAAAAGAAAAATATTGGTTATTTTGTGGGGGTAGGATTAAAAGTTTTCTTTTACGGCATAATATTTAAAGTGTAGTATAAAACATATTATTAATGTGATATATCATATAACATTATGTCAATTGTTATAGTATATAGAAATAAAAATGTTTTCATGATTGCTTTTATTTTTCCAGAGTTAGAATTTAATATTTTAACAAATATTTTCAATATTTAGAATATAACATTATGATAGTTGTTATTGTATATAGAAATAAATTTGATTTCATGATTCTATTTATTGTTGTGGAAATTAGAAATCAAGTTTTTAATAAATGCTTTTAATACTAATACCAAAATAAATAGAAATATTTCTATTATCGAAGACAATAATGAAATATTTCTTTTATCAGATGCAAATTTTATGGTACAAATATTACAAAAGAAGATGATGACATTGTAGAAAATAGATGCCACTTGCGAAAATATATGAAGATCGATGAACTTTTTCAAAGAAATCAATATTTTATATATTCCTCGAATGCGAAATGTTTTAACTCATAATCTAGCATAATTCTCTATTTCCTTGCTGTATAGAATTTTTTGGAATTCAACTTTCTCAATTTGGGTTGTAACCAATGCATATATGTCGTATGTACATTTGAAAAAAGATTATTAAGTAATATATTGAAGTTTTTTACTGTAAAAAAAAATAGAATAAAGTATAAAAATCTAATATGTTTAGAGGTTAATTACATCCTATCTCAGAAGTTTCCTCAATTACAAAAATCTTAAATTTTTCGTTACTCTTGTATACATACATTCCTTGGTTGTCTGATACATTACTAATGATGTTTATTATTTCATGGGTGGAATGTATCCAAGAGAGGATATTTATTGTATCCGAGAGGTAATAAGAATATAATCAAAAGGGGATTATGATATCTTAAATTGTGAATTTATGAAAATTTTTCAATAAAATGTGTGAAATAATACTGGGCCCGTGTCACGGGCCTTGAATTATCTACTTTTTTCTATTATATAGAAGAGTGAAGTGGGAGGACGACCAAGGGTAAAAATGTAATTTCACCCTAATAAATATCAATGAAGAAAGATGATAAATAATTCTAGAATTATCTTTCTATATATGAAGTGAATAATGATCAAAGGCAAAGATGTAATTTCACGCTAACAAAAATCTACCAAGAATAATAACAAAAAAATTAAATAGTTCTAGAAACATCTTAAGTTATTGTTATTACCATTAACTTATTTTGTTATTATTTCTTTTTCTTTTTATTTCTTTTGTGAGTTATTGTGATATATATTTTATTACTACTCTATTTTACTTAGAGCTGTCAATATGGGCTAGGCCCGTTGGGCCGACCTTGCCTAACCTGGGATTTAATAGGGCTGTGCTAAGATTTTTGGAGCCCATTTAAGAAAAGAGTTTTTTTAGCCCGGCCTGAATAAGTCTGCTGATTTGGGGGGCTTGAAAAATATTGGTATGGCCGGCCTATGAGCCAATAAAAATTAATTAAAAAATATAATATAATATTAAAATTTAAAAATAAAGAGAGTCCAAAATCAAACAATTAGGTTAATATTTCTATTTAGATATTTATACTTTTAGTTGAAAAAAATTTAATAAATATCAAGGAAAATGCACAAGTACCCCCTAGACTATGACCAAAATCATAGAGACACACCTCAACTAAACTAAGGTCCTATTACCCCTGAACTTTTTTTTTTGTAATTTTATACACCTTTTGTCTTGTGTGGCGCTCTATGTGACTCCATGCAATTGAGGCGTGTCGAAGATATTTGGATGCTACTTAAGCCAAAGAGGTACACAAAATTACAAAAAAAAAAAGTTTAGGGGGATAATACGACCTTAGTAAGGTGTGTCTTTGGAATTTCGGTCATAGTCTAGGGGGTACTTGTGCATTTTTCCTAAATATTATAAATATAATTTTATTTGTGAATTTGATTAACAAGTAGTGACATTAAGGTCTCATTTGTTTCTAGGGAAAAAGGTTAAAAATGCCCTTAACGTATTTCAAATGGTTCAAAAATGCCCTCCTTCCATCTATTAGTTTAAAAATGCCCTTAACGTTTTTTTAAGGTTTAAAATTGCCTTTTTTAACAGCCTGCTGACATGGCAAAAGTGACATGGATTTTCATTAAACATTTCAAAATTTATGACCCACTGGTCTTAAAACCAATTTCTAAGTGCAAATCTAATTGTGGCAATCCCTGCACGGTTGAAATGAACTTGGCCAAATGGAAAAACTTGCAGGTGTAACACAAGGTAGTACTTTGAATTCTTTTTTGGATTACTCAAGGAAACTGAATCTACAGGCACATGATTTTGGCTAAAATATGATAGCATAGACTTCTGAAGTGACTCATAAATGCTTGTGTTTGTCAAGTCGGAAAAGGAAGGTGCTAAGAATTTGATCAAAGCTGCATTGTGTTTTAAGGCAATTATCTTGTGGAATTGAATATCCAAAGTTCGTTTGGGAATTGCCACAGTAGTCTTCTGATCCTTCTTCATAACAAACTGGATTATGCATAAGTCTGCCAAGTGAACAAGTAGAAAACTGAGATTGTTAAACGACTAAATTGTATTCAGAAGAATCAATTGTCCTAACATGAATGATCCAACATTTCTTTCTCATTGCTAAAGTGGAGAAAAAGTGACTCGAGGACTTACAGTATTTGAAAAGAAAATCCAGGTCTTACTATATATGAATCGATGGAATTGTTCTGCAAATCAATCAGTTTTAGTTGACCGCTATAGTTGGATACAATATTCAGGGTTCCATTGATCTTGTTTCCCCTCAAGTTGCTGTCATAATAACCACCTCATTGTCGTAAAATTGAAATACAAAACATAGAATCATATACTAGGTCACTTTGTACTACCTCAAACTTCGTTACAAGTCTAGCACGCATCAAAAAATGAGAATAGTTGCATGACATGCACTGTGGCCTAAAAGTAAAAGAACACTCACACAGTCTGTAACTGAAAAAGACTGAAGAGGGTTGGCGGAATTTCTCCTTGAAGTTGAGTGTTCTCCATTACCCTATGAGCAGAACAAATACAAATGAGGTGCATAACAAACTCTATGAAACACTTCATCCGATAACATGTTTAGATGCATGTGAGTTCTGCTGAGTCACTTGAACTCAGGGACAGATACACACATGCATGTGTTAAGAGATAAAGCGAAAGCAAGAGAGAGATGGATACAAAGTCGTCAATGACTGCAAAGATGAAAACCACTGTGGAAAATCAGCTGAGCTGAATGTATTATTGCTCATATCTCTGCAAAACATGACCATTGGACACAAAATCAAATTAAAGTAATCTAAAGACATAATCTGTGATATCACAACATCAAGATTGATGCATTATCTTAGCAGAATAGAGTTCCAATCAGAACATCAGTATGTCAAGGAACTTACAAGTAGTTGAGGGCATTCATGCCAGCGAGATTAGGCAAAGGGCAAGAGAATTTATTGTTTGATAAGAAGCTGCAAGTGATATAGAAAATTTATAGATGGTCTGATAAACTCATAAAAACAAAGAGATCATATCAAGGTAATATTAACATTATGCTTGTCTACTCACAGTTCACTCATAAGTGTGAGACTTTTGAGGGTTGATGGAATTGTTCCGTCTAAAGAATTCCTGTCAAGATGACTACAGTATACATGGATATTTAGTTAGTAAAAACAGGTAATCAAAAGCAAGAAAAACGGCACATTTATTAGAGTTCCTTAAGAACATGATGGATTTTGGAAATACTTACACCACCTCCAGAGTCTGCACTAGTCCTAATGAAGAGGGTATTTTTCCAGTATACTACTTATTTCGCGAAATACATCCCTTATTCATAGCTTCTTTTAATTAATCTGCTTCTGTTTTCCATTATAAAAATTTAACTCGATAAAATTGCTGCACATTTCTTATCAAGTTATTCATGTCTTTCTCATTAGTTTGGAGTGGTATTCTGTTTCTTTCTTCTGCAACTTCCAACCATAAAACATAATACTACTAAAATAAACTTTTGACAAGTGAAACAAATCAACAATACACATAGCTAAACCATATTGATATTAGAAAGGTAACACTTTGGAGTCGATTGTTGTCTTAACAACCATTAATAATACAAAAATCAGCAAAAACACAAGTTGCTTGGAGTCATACTGTAGTTGTCTAACAACCATTAAGAGTACAAAAATCAGCAAAAACACTAGTTGTTTGGAGTCATTGTTTCATTCTCTCCTTACATAACACTTAATGACACTAAATATAAAACAAATTCTACATCCCCTTGCCCCCTATAGGC